AGAATACCTGAGAGTCCTTTAATTCACTAAATATCCATCTTTCCTCTTGCAGGATTACACTCAGCTTTGCTAGATAGGTTATTCTTGACTGCAAACCCAACTCCTTTGCTCTTCAGAATATTATATTCCACATTTAATGTAGAAGCTGCTAAATCTTATGTCATTCTCACTGTACCTTCACAGTATTTAAATTGTTTCTATTTGCTTGTAATACTTTCTCCTTTACCTGGGAACTTTTAAACTTAGCTATCACATTCTCATAAGTTTTCATTTTGTGATCTCTTTCAGGCAGTGATCAGTGGATTTTTTCAATTTCTATTTTACCTTCTAGTTCTAGAGCTTCAGAGCAATTTCCTTAATAATTTCCTTCAGTATGCTGTAGACTCTTTTTAAAATTATAACTTTCAAGTAGTCTAACAATTCTTATATGATCTTTGCTTGATCTGTTTTCCAGGCAGTTGTTTTTATGATGAGATGTTTCATGTTCTCTTCTATTTTTTCATTCTTTTAATTTTATTTTATTATTTTTTGGTATCTTATGAAGTTATTAGCTTCCTCTTGTCCAATTCTAATTTTTAAGGACTTATTTTCTTCCATAAGTTTTTGGATCTCTTTTTTCAATTGGTTGACCTTTTTATAATTCTTACTTTTCTTGCATTACTCATTTCTTTTCCCAATTTTTCTTCAACCTATCTTATCTGATTCTTAAAGATCTTTTAAGCTCTCCCAAGAACTCTTTTCAGTCTTGTTACCATTTTACATTTTCTTTGAAGCTTTTTAAGAAGCTGTTTTCTCTTTTTCTGAATTTGAACTCTGATATTCTCTGTCACCATAGCAACTATCTATGGTCAGGTTCTTTCTTTTTTTTAATTCATTTTTGAAAGGACTATTTCTTGGTTATTAACCTTATGTTAGAGTCATGCTCTGCTCCCAGGGTGTGAGAGATAATGTCTCAGGCTTCAGGCTTTTCATGCTGTTGTTTTCTGAGCTCTATCTGGGGCCTTTGACCTCTTGTTTCTTCTAATGTTCTATAATCCAGGGCTAGCTGTGATCACTATTCCTCTAGTTCACACCTTGCTTTAGAAGTGACCTCAGGTGCTCGTCTCTGCCTCTGAGCCTTGACTAGGGACCCCAGTACCACTGTCACCAAAAACACTTTTGCTCCTTTCAGTCACTCAGATAAACTTACAAGCATCAGTTCACCCCTTTGTCCTGGAACTGAAATCTGACACAATGCTTTCCTCCAAGTGACCACACTCACAAGTATTTCCTCACTCCTCCTCACTGCAGCCATAGCCTGGGACCCCATCTGGTCAGAGCCTGGGACCCCATTCAGCACTAGTGGAGGGCACCACAATCTTCCCCTGATCAGCTGCCCAACCCTGAAACTGTCTGTGGCGGGAAAGCATCCCAGACACAGCTGCCCCCAGGCCTTGCTATATGTTGACTCCTGGTATCTACCTGGTATCTGAACTTCAATCAAACCAGAACCTCCCCTGGAGGTCAAGTCTTTCCTAATGTCCACCAAGTTGTCAGACTGGACAGCTGACTCATTCTGATTTTTTATTATTTCTGCAGCTCCGAAATTTACTTTAAGGCATTATCTTAAGGTATTAGTGGGGGAATTTGGGAGAGTTAGGTAATTAATTTCCTGCCCTGTTCTACCATCTTCCCACAATTTCCTCCATACTAAGTCTTAATAAATGCTTGCTGACTTAACTAGGTAAAGTAACACTTCTTTAAAAGAGAAAAGAAGCTTCATTATCACTTCATGTTTGTATGACTTCAAGCAAATTACAGAGCTACTAGTTCTCTTCTTTTGTTGCCACACCCTAGGTCATAGAGTATACAGCAAGGAAGTGGGGAGTTCTAGATTGATGTTGCAAATGCAACCTCCAAAAAATCAGCTTCCCCTAATTTCCTGTACCTTTCCTTATAGTGAGTTCTCTTAATAAGAACATATATTCAAAACAGTTTTGGGTTTTTTTGGGGGTGGGGATGCATTCAATAAGAACTACTTTATAATAAAGACCATATGTTACAGGATAATTATAAGTTATATTTAATTAACCCTAAGTTAACTTTTTTCTCTTTGTCATCCAAAAGGTAGAATCATACTTTGGAACTGTATAATGTCAGGCAATATCATAGTGGTCCATGAACAATCAATTGGCTCAGTTTTGTGTTATTAGTTTTATTTGTTGAAGTCACATAGTTATGACCAAAAAGTTAGAGCAAAGACTTGAAACTGGTTGATTCAGCTTCAATTTTCTAAATTTTCAAATCATCATATAATTAAAAGGAACTTTGTCCCATGAACAAGTATAGCATCATTACAATCTTTTGCTCTTAAAAAAAACTATATTAATTGCTTTAAAGACATATATGGACAGAAAGCATTTTTAAATGCTACAAAATTAAAGTTTTCCATTTATTTATGAGAAAAAGACTTTGATTAGGAAATTAGTTTTTAAATTATGAGGAGACATAAAATACACAATCTACAGATAATTAATGTTTTAGATTTTTACTGATGAGCACAGTTCATAATTTTAAACCTTTAGATCTTAATATAGTTCAATCCTGAGTGAAGTATCTATGGCATTAACATATGTTTAAGAGAACTAAGTATAATATGCTTAACAAGCTATTTAGACAGAATGGGATAGTGATTGAACTATTATAAGAAGTTCCTTAGCAGGAACTTCCTCGATAGTGCAGTTTGGCATCTTTTCTGCAATTTATAGTCTGAAAGAGTTTCCCAGAGCACTGAGAGGTTAAGTGAATTGCATAGGTATAAACAGTCACTATATGTCAGAAGCTGACCTTGAACCCACATCTTTCTGGCTCTGAGATCAGTTCTCTTAGCCACTACTCCATGCTTTCTCAAGCTACAACTAATGTACTAGAAAGTTATTCTATAAATATGCAATCAATATGGTCTCTTTTTTTTTTACTTGTAAATTTCAATATAACTTTCAAAATTCCTATATTTTCCGTATTAGACTTAGATATTTTTAGACATGCTTATACACCTCAATTCAAAGTATATTCATGACAAATTTAAGATAAACAATATTTAGAAAAGCAGGTGAGTTTACTACCAGGAATGGCCCCTGACTTGATTATAAGAATTTCCTTAGTGATACAACAATTTCTAAGATGCCAAACAAAAAAATTTAAGTAGACTGTTTAATTAAAAGTTTAATCCTCTGCACAGCAACACAGCCTATCATTCTGTTTACAAAATTATGTTGTTCTATTTACCATTACAGGAATGCAGATTTTATATACATTTTTCAATTTTTTTGGTGGAGGAAGAGTCCTGGGATTTCATTGGTAGAGGAAGAGTCTCTACCTGCAATTTCTTCACAGAAGAAACTCCCAATGTGGAAGCTCCCCTATCTGTAAGTCTTAAAAGAGTTGCCTAGAGCACATAGATGTTCAGTGACTTGGTTACACAATTATGTGTCAGAGTTAAGAACCCTACACTACCCTAATACAAATTCTCTATCTACTTCACCTTTCTACCTTTCATATGAGTGATTATTTTTAAAATTCGCTCAATGACCTGGATGTTTCATTTGTATAATATTGAACATCTGGAAACATTTGATAACTGACAATTATCCCTTTGAATTCAAATGTTTTGCATCTTAGAATCATATAATACAGCTGCTCAACCCAATTAGATTTGAGGTAAAAGAGAAGGGAGAAAGAATGAAAGAGAAGCAATGAAAGAAAAGGTCCTCTGAATCTTTGCACACAGCGTTCAAATTACAAAATCTAATTTAGAACTTTTACCAGCAGAAAAAAAAAAGAAATCTCTATTAGCTAAACTCCTTGCCCTCCTCCACCTCACCTCCAGTGGAATTTCCTAGCATCAGTGAGCTTGAAAACTGAAAGGAACCAGCAACTTTTTACTTTTAGGTTCTCCCACAATAAAGTATCTGAAGCTTAAATGAGTAAAAAGAGAGCCCAGAACGTAAAAATACAATAGCATATGGCACCAGTCCCAAAGCAAAAATCTTAGGCCACTGTAAACATCAGATCAGAAGAGATAATTCTGCAGCCCTGGGGAGATTGCATAGTACATAATTTAAACAAGTAACTACAGTACATGAAAGAAGAATAGGGAGGACCCTCCTCACTAATGATCACTCATCTAGACCCGTTTAACTGTTTTTTTTTTCTTCAGAGCATCACTAGATTATTACTCTGCCATAAACTCTTGTAAGTGATTCATTCTCCTACCTACTCCTGAACAGCCACTGCAAGGAAAATGGTATTTAAGTTTAATTTCCAATGTCACTTAATTTAGGGAGCAAGACGGGGTTGAGGGGGAAATCAAATTTTAACGTTTTTGTCATATTTCTGCTCTTCCCATTCCCAAGACAAAAGGATGCTCAGGTAGGTTGTAGCCCTGGATTGACTGAAGTAGGGTGGATGACAAAGTGGGGTTCAAAAGTGGAGGAGAAAGCTACCTGAAAAGAGGCCGGGGCTGGAGGTTGCTGGGGAGAACAGGGATGGCGTAGAGATAGAATACGGCTCTACACTATTACAGCAACCCTAAATTTCCTGGGCAGGAAGAAATCCTTGACCGAGAAGTGTCCACTACAAATTTAGTTAATTCTACTGAGGGAATAAATTGAAATCATGATGATGATGATGACGATGATGATGATGATAATGGAGGAAGGAAAGGGAAAGTCAATGTCTCCGAAAACCAGAGGCTGGGGAGGCTCCCTTCAGCTTGTGACCCCCAGAACTACACACGCACACTCCCTTCTTTCCATTTGTTTACCTACACACAGCCGGGAGCGGCTTGTCTGGTTTTGCTAAGCTACGGCAGGCAGAGAAGCCAACAGAGACTGAGGGACAGAATACCCGATATTCTGCAGCCGGCCAGCTCTCCCGCCTCTGCACCCCCAGCTCCTCACCACCATCACCCCCCCCCACACACACACACACGCTCCATCTCCTCCTCTTCCTCCTCTTACCTTCCCAGCTCCGTCTCCACCTCGAAGAAATCATCCAAAGAGTCTTTATTGGACCCATCGATCCAATAGTCGGGAGTGGCCGAGGAGCTCCCAGTCAAGGTAGACGAGTTAGAACTGGAGGAGGAAGTAGAGGTGGGAGCGGTGACTTTCAGCATCTTCCTAGCAGAACTCCTCTTACTGCGGCTCACCGGGTCTCCTTGTGCTCCCTCGCCAACTGCAAGAGGAAGAACGAGAAGCGAGTCCGTGTCCTTCCACACACCCACACCCACCACGGCCACCTCTTCCTTCTGTTCTCCCACACACTCCTCTCTTACAGCAGCTCCTCTCTAGTGTGCAAGGGTGCAGAGGGAACGAGGGGAGGGAGAGCGGGAAGGAGGGGGGTGAGGAGGAGGAGGAGAAGGAGCAGGAGGAGGAAGAGGAGGAGGAGGAGGAGGAGGAGGAGTGAAACAAAAAGCGCAGAGAGAAGAGAGCGGAGAGACCAGGAAGAGGGAGAAAAAGAAGAGGTGTTATATCTTCTTTCCCCCCTATTTCTTCCTTCCCTCCTTCCTTTCTCCTTCCTTCTCCTCCCTCCGTTTCTCCACAAAAGACAGTGGTGGCAGTGACTTGCATGAACCCCAGGTCCAGACACTTGGAAAAGGGAGCTGCCACTCTCCTGTAACAATTGAAAAGAAATAAGACACTGAAGGGGTGGCACCGCAGTTACTGAAGAAACCAGAATGGCGTTCGAGACACAACATGGGAGAGTGGAACCCTCTGGTGCTGATGCTGTGACCCAGGGACTCACTCCTTTCCTCTACAGCTTCTTCTCCCAGGGCTCCTGCAGTGGATCCCTCCCACTAGTTACCCGCAAACATCATTCTATTTCTCCCGTTTCAGCTAACTAAATATTTGCCTGGAGGTTCGGAAGGGTAGTGGAGACTCCCCATCCCAAAGCGCAGTGCTCCTCTTCCCCTCACCCAAGTCCCAGGGAGTACCTTAGATCAAGGTGACCTGACTCACCTGTAGTTAGATACTCTAATAGGTATTGTTGCAGCTGCTGTTACTTTCTTCTCTGGGTTCTTCTAGGGCCTCTCCTTAAGTTGTGTGTTTCCCATCCCTAGAAGGCCTGCAGAAGTGGCTAAGAATCACAGGGCTAGATGCAACCTTGAGAAGTCATCTCCTCAACTCCTAGGCTTCAAGCAGATCTACTCATAACCTGCCACAGATAAAGAAGAATCCAGTATATGAAGTCCTTCAGAGAAAATATTCCACTGAAACCTATTCCAAAGTCTATTCCAAAGGTTACTTCCCAATCAGGAAATTCTTCCATATACTTGTTGAACCTAAATCTCTGATACTTCAGCTTAAAACCATTCCTTCTTTTGGGTATAGTGAGAATAGCTAGTTAATACAGAAGAGAATTATTGAATGACTCCCTGCCCAGCCTGTTTTTCTCCTGGATAAAAAATTTCAATCCTTTTTTTCCCCCTCAGAGATTTTATTCTCTTTCTGTGACTTTCCTTTGAACCCTCTCTAGTCTTCATATTGTCAAATTCTCTACTCCCCTCTGAAAATATCAGTGATACAAACTTAGTTCATTCCCCCAGTCTTTGGCTTATACTTTCTTTGAGAGGTTTCCTGCTCCACTGGTAAGAATAGTTTTATTTTTTGGTCTTTTGATAAATTTATTCTAATTATGGAGTGGCATGAGTATAAGGGATAATTAACTGGAATATCATTCTTATATTTATTTTTAAATCTGGAGTGGTTTGATGAAGATTACTGTGCAATGAATAGTGGATTCACATATTCAGCCATACCATGTTTTACATTCATTTGTGTTTTGGATTACTTTCTAAGAATAGACACTAGAGATTATGAAATGCTGTGTTATTTAACCAAACTCTGGTTCCCTGACCTATAGATTAAGGACTGAAGATCACATTAATTTGTGAAGAGAAATCATCTGTGCATTTAGTCAAATCAAATCCTTGTCTTTATTGAAGTCGATCAATCAATAAACATTTATTAAGCAGCTTCTATGTGTCAGGCACTGTGCTAAGCACTGGGGATACAAAAAGAAAAGTAAAGGCAGTCCCTGCCCTCAAGAAGCTTAATCTAATGAGGGAAACAGCATGCAAACAAATATATGTGTCTGTGTACATATATATATATATACACACACACATATATATACACACATATACATATACATTTGTGTATTTATGTATATATATGTGCATACATACATCCACACACATACATCTATATACAGGCAAACTATGTACAGGATAAATAGGAATTAATTAACAAAGGGAAGGCGCTAGTAATAAGAGGGTTTGAGGAAAGTTTCCAGTAAAATATGGGATTTTAGATGGGACCGAAAGAAAGCCAGAGAAGTCAATAGGCAGAGATGAGGAGGGAGAGCATTCCAGGCATGAGGGACAGCAGAGAAAATGTTCAGAAAAGTACATGATGGAGAGTAAGGTATAAGAAGATTGGAAAGGTAGAAAAGGCTAGGTTTTGAAGGGTTGTGAAGCCAGACAGGATTTTGTATTTGATCCTGGAGGCAATAGAGAACCACTGACATTTATCGAGTAAGTATGGACAAGGGCGGGGGGAGGGAAGGTAATGGGACCTATGCTTAGGAAAATCACTTTAGTGCCTGTATGGAGGATGGATTGTAGTGGGGAGAGAGACTTGAAGCAACCAGACCCATTAGCAGGCTCTTACAGTAGTCCAGATGTGAAGTGATGAGGACCTGAAATAGGATGGTGGCAGTGTCAGAGAAGGGAAGAAGTGTTGCAAGAGACATTGCAAAGGTGAAATAAATAGGCCTTAGCCACAGACTGGATGTAAGTGGGGTGCTGAAAGATAGTAAGGAACCAAGATGACTCCTAGGTTTCAAGGGACTGAGAGGGTTATTGCTCTTTACAGTAATAGGGAGAATGGAGAGGGAAGGGAGGGAATGATTTGGACATATTGAGTTTAAGATGTCAATAGACCATCCAGTTCAAGATGTCTGAAAGGCAGTTGGAGATGAGAGATTAGAAGTCAGCAGAGATATTGGGGCAGGATAGACAGATTTGAGAATCATCAGCATGGAGATGATATGGAAGCTGATGAGATCACCCAGCTAGAATTGATCTAGAAGGGAATCCAGCAAAGGAGGCAGAAAAAGAATGGTCAGTTAGGAGAACCAGGAGAGAGTGGTGTCCCAAAAACCTAGAAAGAAGAGAGGATCAAGGAATAGAGAGTACTCAATAATATCAAAGGCTGCAGAAAAGTCACGAAGAATGGGGATAGAGAAAAGGCCATTGGATCTGGCAACTAAGAGATCACTAGTAACTTTGAAGAGAGAAGTTTCAGTGGAATGTGTGGGAAGCCAGATTGTAAGAGGTTAAGAATAGAGAAAGTGGAGGCAACTGTTTACTCTGCCTTTTCAAGGAGTTTAGCTATTAAGGGTGGAACAGATCTAGAATGATAGTTCATGGGAAAGGACGGATCAAATGAGGGTTTTTTCGGGATGTAGAGACATGGGCGTGTTTGTAGGCAGTAAGGAGTGAGACAGAAAGCAGGGAATGATTTAAAAGAAGTGTAAATAATTTAAAATAAAGTAAGGATGACAGCGAGGGCAATCTGTGGAAGAGATAGGATAGAATTGGATCCCTTCAGCAGTTAGAGGGGTTAGCCTTGGTAGGGAGTAAGGCCACCTCATTACGTGAGACAGGGGTGAAGGAGAAGAAAGTGGCAGAAGGCATCTGAGTGATAGGAACTGAGGAAGAGGAGAGAAGTAGGAGTTCATGGCAAATAGCCTCAATTTTTTCCGTAAAATATGAGGCAAGTTTCTCAGCTGACAGAGTGAAGGGAAGGGAAGTCATGTGATGTTTGAGGAAAAGTGAAAAGTTGTAGAAAAACTACTGTGAAAAGTAGAATAGTGGGTTAAAAAGAGATGTATGGTAGGATTGAGGGCCCAATTGAGGTTATATAACATAAATCTGTAGTGGACCCAGTCAGAATGATTGAGTGGGTTTTCTCCACTTTTATTCAGCTGCATGTGTGTAAGGTGATAAATGGTAGGAGTGACCCAAGATTGGGGTTTTTCTGGGCCTATCAGTGTTATGACAGAGGGACTAGAAATTTAAGAGAGGACAGTGTAGAGTTGAATTGGTTCACCAAGGGGAGAAGATGGAGAGGAGAGAGTGATTAGTTCAGGAGAGATGGCCTTGGAGATAATTGAGGACTCAAGGGACTGGAGGTCACAGTACAGATGAAGAGTAGAGTTTTGTAAGGAAAGGGAGAGAGGAGAAAACCCAATAGATTTGGGGCAATTAGGGGATTTCAGAATTCTTGAACATACAGGTAGCACATTTATGGGTAATAGCAAGATTGACAGTATGACTATCTTTGTGTGTGGCTAAGGTGGGGTAGAGTAGCATATGGAAAATGAGTAGTTTCAGACACTGAGTGGTTAAAGAATTTGAGGGAGAAGCAATATGCATATTGAAGTTTCCTGATATGAAGGCAGGAATTAAGGAGGAGAGAAAAATTGTGAGCCAGGTACCAAACTCACTGAGGAAGGAAGGGGAGTAACTTGGGGGTCTGTAGACAATTACCAGGATTTTAATTGGGTGGTAGATATGAATAAGTAGCATGAACCTCAAAGTAAGAACCTTAAAGTTACTGAGTGATGGAAGTAGGAAGAGAACCTGGAAGTGGTGATTAGGAATGAGAAGTATTGCTCTTCTCTCTTGGCCCTTGAGCCAAGGAAAATGAGTGAAAGTGCAGTCAGTACTGGAAAGAGTGGCCAGCAAGGCGATGTCATCAGGGGGAAGACGGCTTTCATTAGGAGCTAGTAGATGGCAAGAGTAGGATAAGAAAATATTTAAGGCAAAGGGAAGTTTATTGCCCATAGAACGGACACACCGTAGGGTACAGTGGAAGGCCTGGGTGGTGTTTAATAGGAACTTTTGGGTGGCAAGATTGAGAGGCTAGGAATAAAGAATTACAGTAGCAGGGGATGAGAAACGGTGTTTGGATGATGATGCATAGGATCACCGGCACATGGAGAGTATGACCAGGCGTGAGAATGTTCATCATTGAGGGAAGCTGGAGATCAGGCTGGAGGCAAGTGCAGTACGAGATTGGAAGGCATACGGTCACATGGTCAGATGGGAGGAGTAGGCAGGAAAACCATGCAGCAGGAGGTAGAAGGCCTCATGTCAAAGGCTAGGTTGCTCTTCTTTGCACAAGAGGTTCTTCATGTCCCCAGTGGCAGAATGGGCAGGCAGCAGGAGGCTCCACCTTCCAGTTGCCTTCTGCTGGCAGAAATGGAAGACATTGCTTTAAGCAAATAGTGGGTGAATTCTCTGAATACAACTTTTACTCTCATTCTGTATGGAAAACAGAACACAAAGGAACAATAATCCCCCACTCTGATTCTCCAGTTGGTGGAACGATGTTACCTAATTACTTGTTACATCATTTCTGCATGCAGCTGTTGAGAGGCATGCACAAGAATGTTGGTTGCTCCATACAGACACCTAGTTAAGCAATTTTCTGCCTATATCTGACATACATTTTTAACAAGGAGATCATATGAAAGAAGTTTTGAGGAAAGTCTTTTTCCCTTCTGACACAGAAGACATCCTTTCTTTAATGCATAAATGAGGGCAGACCTTATTCCAGTTTACAGTTCGAATCTGGTGAAAGCATGAGTGACTTTCTCTAAAATTTCCTTTAGAAAGTTCCCTTTGTATTTTCAATTAGCTGTTCTTATAAATCCAGTATGTATTTTATTAAAGTAGGATTTCAAAATAATTACTTTTATTTTTAAGAAAAGACATATAAGCTACATGTTTCTATAATGGTGAACATACTTAGACATCTGAGTAGCTGACTAAAACTAGATGCTTTGTGAAATAATGCATATGGAGCACTTTAAAAAGTTTGAAAGTGCTTACAAGTGCTGTTATTACTTCTCTAAAGTCCTCTTCTACAAGTGCTTCATTATGCCACGAGAGGGGCTTTGTGTTCTAAAAGGTTATGACAGCAAACAGTAAACTCTAAAGATACTATCTGGCTCAAAAAGACCAATGTTAGTCATTGCAGTTGTGTCCTATGAATAGAATGTGCTCACTCCTCATCTCTGCCTTTTTAGAATCCTTGTCTTTCTTTGAGGTAGACCAGGTACCATCTTCTCTATAAAACCATTTTTGATTCCTCTCCACCCCCATTTTTAAATTTTCTTTCTATCCTGAAATTACGTTGTATTTTACTCATCTATGAACATGTTGTATCCCAAGTAGAATGTAAATTCCTTCAGGGTAAAGACTTTTTTGTTTGCTTCCAGAGGGTCTCTAACACATTGTAAGTGCTTAATAAATGCTTATTGATTGCTTGACAAGCTGAAGTATTGGAAAAATTGATTTACCAGAAGGTTAATCCACAAGGTGATGGTTATTTTTGTCAACAGCAACTCATACAATGAACTACTGAGGCTTTGTGAGGATGCGTGTGCCTGTGTATGTGTATGTGTGTGTGTGTTTGGAAGTGGAAGGAGTTGTGGTGGTGGTACTTGCATTTAGTGGAGGAAATATCCTTACCAATTAAATCATTCATCTTTAGAAGTACTGAAGTATTATCATCCTCCTCCTCCTTCTCCTCCTCCTCATTATTACTTAGACCATGGCAAGCCAAAATTTTATCCGAAGATACATATTCTTCAAGGGAAAAAGTTTTTAGTCAACTCATCTCTTTCCTTGTGCAGGAAAGGAAGATAAATATTCACCTTCATGAGTGTAGAGCAGTGGTTCTCAAATTGTGGTCCAGGTACCCCTGGGCATTCTTGAGGTCCCTGAAATCCTTTTAGGGATTCCTTGAGGTCAAAACTTTTCATAATAATACTAAGATATTTTAATTTCTAATATGATAAATATCAATATATTTAATTAGCATACAAAAAAGCTCTTGGGGGCAAGAGGGTCACATAATTTTTCAGAAGTATAAAGAAGTCCTAGAACCGAAAACTACTGATATAGAGGATGAAGTAACCTTTCTCTATCACTCTTACATCCTATAGAATAGTGAACATTTTCCTGGCTACATTGAAGAATCATCTAAGTGCTCCAGAAGCTGCACTTCTAACTATGGAATAGGGCACTAAAAGACCCTAAGTTGTATAGCTGACTTTAGCAGCAGATGAGAGGATTCTGAAGAGCACTTGAACAAATTACTCTTTGACTTAGTCATTATTCATCGAGGTCTTGTACCCATTCCAGATGTGTGAAAAAACATTCTCAGAGCTACTTGTGTAAAAGGAAGACATTCTATGTTCCTCTACCTTCATCCTACTACAGTAATTGTTAATCCACTCATACTCAGGGATACTTTAACTCACTCATACACAGACATGATGAGAAGCACAGTGATGGACTTTCCAATACAAAATATGCTGTCTTTTTAAAAAATTCATTTATTTTTGGTTTTCAGCATTCACTTCCATAAGATTTTGAGTTTTACATTTTTTCCTCCTCTCATTTCTTCTCCTTCCACCCCCCCTTCCCAACAACAGTGTACAATCCAATATAGGCTCTACATACACATTCATGTTAAGCAAAAATAGTCTTGTTGGAATGTATGTTATAGACAAAATTATGCCAAGAGTTAGCTATTTTCAGATGAATTTTAACTGGCCATTGAGCTGATATATATAAATCATGAGACTAGACCTTGAGGCCTTGGTGAGTTTTCAACAATTCAATCATTGTTTCTTAATAACCTCCTAAAACCTAATCTGAACACCTAGTATTAAGCCTATTTGACATAAGATCTATCCTCACCAGACTACAATTTCTAAACATGTAGTTTAGTTTTCTACTTAGATTTACCAGCTAAATGTAAACTTTCTTCTTTTTAATCTGACTTCCGGCAGGCATTTCCTTAGTGTTATATTTACATCCCCTTATTTTTCTATACCAGTATAATCTCTTACTCTTTTCACCGCATTAAAATATTTCCTGTTTCTTTATTCTATTTTGTTTTTTTGCTTCTTGTTCTTATTGTCTTACTCTAACATCTCAGGTTAATATAATAAACATAAAATATTCTTATCTTTTTTGATTCTATAAGCTTAGGTAGAGTTTAGTTTTAGTTTCATCTTTAAAACAAAAGAGTTTTAATTGCAGAGGGGGAAACAGTCTGGCTAAAAAAATTTGAAAGAGGGAGAAATTCTTAATTATTGAACATTTTTTACCAAGGAAAATTCAAATTTTGAGATTTAAAATACTTTAGATTAAACTTTTTCATAAAGCACAAAGATTTAATCTTATTAAAATCAGGTTTAAAACTATTGCACATTAATAGCAAGTAATCCATCATTTTAAGTCCAAGCTCACAGTTATATGTCTTGGGTAAAATAAGTCTCAACATGGCCAAGATACTTGTTTTAGTGATTTTTGTGATTCATATTGATCAACAAAGTCAAATACACGGAGATCTTTCAGGTGGCAGAAGCAAATTAATAAGGCCAAGCTACTCCATTCATTTCATGCATATAAAAATGTGACCCAATTTTCACAAAAATCCAAGGGAATAATAAGCACCAGATTTCTTCCTGGGTTTCACTCACCAAGGATGGCACTTCAGGATCCTTACTTTTTTAGGCACATGCTTTCTTGCCTTTCCAAATGCTTATTATTTTCTCATTGTAGAATTAAGAATTTTCCTGCCTGGAACTTCTGGTTGCTAAGCAACATTTCCTTTTTCTTCTCCATGAAACCTTGTTACCTGACTGGCACATCATCCTCTTCATCATAATCATCAGCAAAGAGCACCTTCTTAGAGAAGTGGGTATTGTTTACTTAAATATATTAAGTGCAGATCTCTGCCTTCTGGGAATTTAGCATCACAGGAAATAAACAGTCATCTGGACATACATTTAAAGTGACAAGAGAGGCTCTACCCTTTCTGCCACTTAACTGATTATTTGTTTGAAAGTGAAAGGTATTAGTGTGGCATAATAAATACATTTGACATTAGGAAGGTCTGGGTTCTTTGACTCTAGGCAAATCACTTAACCTTTCAGTGAGTGCTTCATGCAAATCTCAACTCTGAGTGCCATTTTGATAATCATTCCCCTTGCTGGGGAGGATTCCTTAGACTAGACACAATGGGTCTTAACTTTTTTGTGTGTGATGGACCCTTTTAGCAGGCTGGTGAACCCTTTTAAGAATAATGTGTTTAAATTTATAAAATAAAATATACAGGATTACAAAGGAAATCAATTGTGTTGGAAAATAGGATTATGAAAATAATTATATTTTGGAAAAGTTCATAAGTCTCAGGTTAAGAACCCCTAAACTAGGGCCAAAAATGGAATTATTCTTCAAAATCTGAGGTGGGAGGGCAATTGAAACAATGTGGAACCTAATTGTCCTATTGAGAAGACAGTTGACAAACCTAGGACAAACCTTAAGGGCAGGTCAAGGACAGAGACTGGCAAAGGTTATCAGTCTCTGTAGCCTCAGCCAAGCAGTTCCTGGATAACCTCTGTGCTACATAAGGAAAAACAGTTGTACAAAAATGGAATGAACTGACAACATTGTAGGATTCCACTCACTGGTGGACATCAAATTAACTGAGCACATGACGGCTTCGCATGAGAAAGACAATAAAGACAAAATCTTTATCCAAGCAAATGAATTAAAAGATGATTTATAGGTATTTGTCACAATTTTTTACCTTATATTTAAGGCCCAGGCCAGAACAAGACTTAGCATCATAGATCTAAGGCTTGACTCTATTACCAGGCAAGTGTGATCTCAAGGAAATGTACTGTTGGCGTGAGGCTATTATACAGCCCAACAATGAGCTCAGCCTTTGCTAAAATGAATGGAGATGAGCAGTCCCTTCTAATTCTGAATTTTTATCTGCAGGGGAAAATGTTTTGCTTCCTGTCAATACAGCAATAAATACAGAAATAAAACCAAGGCACACACAGTCATGCGTCACTAGTTTATTTTACTTCATCACCTCAAGAATACACACCCACAGTGACTGGTTCCTGAAATGTTATTACTCTTCAATTCATGCTTCTCCTAATCTTTCCAGAGGCATATTTCTCAGTCCTATGTCCTTAAAAGCCCAAAGCATCTATAAGGGACTTCATTATTCACCATCATTGTTCATGATAGCTTGGTTTTTGTGACTTTAGCCTTCAGGAGACATGGCTCAGTATGTGTGGGAGAGGTAGGGGATACAGTAGTTTTTATCCTTCCCTTTGTTATGGGAGAAATATCTCCTCTCTGAGTTCATGTGCTGGGTAACTGCTGTCAAATACTTATTTACCACAATGCAGAAATTATGGAGGTGAAAACCTATGTTCTATTATTATGCTCAAGCATAGGTTCAGGCGTCAGAGAAAACCTGAACCTTCATGAGGAACATTACATCAAAGTAACAGAGAAATAATTATTTTATATATTGCAATCTTATACATTCCTCTTAGGCTAGAGAAGTTGGAGAATATAGATGCATAATCCCATACTTCCTTCAATGTCATAAAAGCTCAACAAACTTAGTTAAACAGAGTGATAATCTCATACATTCCATGAAGAAACAAACCTCATCAAACAAATTCTACAGGCAAACTAAATCAGGTTACAGATTAAACTACAGTTAGAGGATTCACAAATAGACTGATTGAGGAGGAGGATTTATGTGTTGCCAAGGAGTCAGAGAGAGTTGAGAATCTTCCTCTGAGTTCTGAATAATAAAAGGAAATCAAGAATTCCTTAACACCTTCAAGATCTATACCTTGGGCCTTTGGATATTACAATTGACCAAGGGGATCCTGCTTCTTTAAGATCTCTGCCTCAGACACTTTGAGCATCATAGTTGGTTAAGGAACATCAAAAAGAGGGCTGGCTCAATTGATGACTGGCCACACTAAAGTATCATGTCCTGCAAAATATGGGACCCCACTTAACTCTGCAGTAGTTATCATGTTATTTTTTCTATTAAGAAGGGAGGCCTGGACAGCAGTTGCTCACAAAATTCACCTATCTAGTCCAGGACTTCACAAGAAGATATCCAGAAACTTGCCAGTGCTCTGATTGAGGATATATCAGAATTGCCTGAAGTCAGTTTGGTCTCTAGTCAACAGGGACTGAGGCCAACAGGATCTCATCCCTGGCCTACTGGGGCCACATTAGGGGATGGAGCCAGCCGCTCATAGGGTCTGTTGGTAGTTCTCAGGGAGATGAAACTAAGCTCTTGTGTGCATATCTTCAGGCTCTTGAAAAAGCCTGAGATAAGTAGCAGATGGGTTCAGTGAATGCCCATAGAGGCAGGGACATAGTCCCCAGGAAGTCCCCAGGGACTTCTAGAAAGCTGAAGACAGGTGCAAAGCCTAATATGTGAGGGCTTCAGGAGAAGTATAACCCTAATCCTACCCTAAGCCAAGGGCAGTTTCTTTTCTTTTCTTTAACATTTTTATTTAAAATTTTCAGTTCCAAATTCTATCCCTTCTTCCTTCCCTCCTTTACCCCCTCCTGAGATGGTAAACAATCAAATAGAGGTTATACATGTCCAGTTATGTAAAACATTTCCATAGTAGTCATTTTGTACAAGAAGACCCAAACAAAAGGGGGGAAAATGAAAGAAAGTGAAAAATAGCATGCTTCAGTCTGTATTCAATCAATAGCAGTTCTTTCTCTGGAGGCAGGTAGTATGTTATATCATTAGTCCTTTGGGATTGCCTGGGATCATTCTATTGTTGAGAATAGCTAAGCCATTCGCAATTCTTCATTGTACGATATTACTGTTACTGTATACAACATTCTCCTGGTTCTGTTCACTTCACTATGCATCAGTTCTTGTAAGTCTTCCCAGGTTTTTCTGAAATCATCCTGCTTGTAATTTCTCATAGCACAATAATATTCCATTACAATCATATACCACAGCCGGTTTAGCCACTCCTCAATTGATGGGCATCCCTTCCATTTCCAATTCTTAACCACCACAAAAACAGCTGCTATAAATACTTTTGTACAAATAGGTCCTTTTCCCTTTTTTAGGATGTCTTTGGGATAGAGACCTAGCAGTGGTTTTGGTGGACCAAAGGGATGCATAGTTTTATAACCCTTTAGGCGTAATTCTAAGTTGCTCTCCAGAGTGGCTGGATCAGTTCACAACTCCACCAACAGTGCATTAGTGTCCCGGTTTTCCCACATACCCTCCAACTTCCAACATTTTCCTTCTTCATCTTATTAGTCACTCTGATAGCTGTGAGGTAGCTTTAAGAGTTTGAGAGGCAAGGCAGAGAGCCATACTTAGACTTTTGAATGGGAGATAACAGATCTCCCCAAGACTGAAGATGTGTGGGAAATCTGGACACCAACACATTCCTTGATTCCCCACTGCCTGCAACCCCAGAGACTGCTGAAAGTGAACTCCTTACACCCCACTCCCTGCCTTGTTTTTGCTTCTTCTCAAAGAGCCCATTTATATTCAAAGAGCTCATATATTTATTCTTCTGCTCAAATCTGTGTAATGTTTACTGTTTAGTGCCTACTATTAACCCTGATAAAGAGATTTACTAGCTATCTTTATAACTAGGCTTTGGTGCTAAACTCCACCTCCCACCCCCAGGTAAAATGGCAGAGTAAGAGGCTATCTATCTATCTATTGCCTCTCACTCTTTATATATACACACACATATGTGAGTATGTATATATTGTGTATACACACACACACACACACACACACATATACACACATACATGTCAGAAGGAACTACGTGGCACAGTAGATAGTAGAGTGCCAGGCCTGAAGTCAGGAAGACTCATGTTCTTGAGTTCAAATCTGGCCTCAGATACTTACTAGCTGGTGTGACCCTGGGCAAGTCACTTAACCCTGTTTGCCTCAGTTTCCTCATCTGTAAAATGAGCTGGAGATGGATATGGCAAACCACTCCAGTATCTTTGCTAAGAAAACCCCAAATGGGGTCACAAAGAGTCAGACATGATTGAAAATGAGAAAACAACATCATAATGCCATCTTCAACAATTGCTGACCCACTGCCTCCTCCTACAAAATAAGACTAGGTAAAGCAGAAGCAACCCTGAGGGAGACAAGAGACAGCATGTTCCAAGTGAATCAAACCCTTGCCTTCACCTTGACTACCACCTTCACTCAGACCCTGATGGAGATAGTCCAGGGCCCTAGCTCAAGAACCCTAGCAAGCACCTTCCAGATCACTGTCCCTGTGTCTGGCCATGTCCCCATAGCCATCATCCAGAAAAGTAATCCCTGTAGAGATGAGACCTGGAAACTACTTCTAAAGGTGCTGAAGCCCTACCTCCTGAGCAATTCTAGCTACTGAAGAAACATAAAAGGAGGTTGTGGAGACCAAAGCCCTTGAAGCTGTAAATGGTTCAATATCAGAAATGGATAAGCTTTATTAGAGGAAATGACATTAAAGAAAATTCATTACTATCTGCTTTGTCACTATATCCCAAAGACAATGCAACTTTTCCCTGTGAACTGAACCTAAAACCCGCTATATGTGTTGTGTTCCCCTATTAGCGTTGAGTCCCTAAATCAAGGACTGCCTCAATTTTATCTATTTGAATTCTCAGTGCTTTTTGGAGTACTTTACACATAGTACATGCTTGATAAATGATTTTTCATTCATTCATTCATTTATTCTATGCACTCTCCTCAATTATCTCTTCTACCTATGTTTATTTGCACTGTCTGAGATCATGATTGCTAACCTTAATTTTTAAAATTCCCTTGAGGTATAATAAATTCTGCTTCAGCCTC